CTGACCCCGCGGATCTGCGTGAGGGGTGTCGATTTCGAGCCCCCCCAGCAATTCAGACAACGCGCCCAGGGGACGCTGGAAAATCCTGTTTGGACCTCCCCCCCCTCGCGCGGTCAATCAACTAGTTACAGTAACCAGCAAGAAGCAGAATTGTAACACTGGAAACTAGAAACTACAACTGGTACAGGAAACTGCGAATCACGTGCCTACAGCCTGGTGGCCCCACAAGGGGGCCGGCGGATTATTTGTCGCTCTCTCCTTGCATGCGTAAGGGCTCCGCCCCCTGCAGCAGGCCCCCTCTCTCTCTCTGTCTCTCTCTCTCTCTCTCTCTCTCTCTCTCCCTCAGAATGGGATATCTCAGAGTCGCGTCGGTGCGTCTTGGCGCTGCCTTGGCGCATCTGAAAACTTCATGCGGGGGCGGATAGGAATCACCAGCGCAAATTGAGACGTTGGCGTTATCGAAGACTCGTACGGCGAATCACCGCCGCCCCCTGCCTTTGTGGAAGCGCCTATGTGGCCGAACGTTGAGACCAGACCGGCCAAGCTATCGCACCATGTGTTCCCCGAATCGGTTTGGAAAGCCTTCGGGGAACGCGTGGGCATCTTGAAGATCATCTTGCCCGCCTGGAGGCCACTTTGACCCTGTCGGGCCTTCTTGGAGGACGTCTTGAAGGGCTCTTGGGCAGTGTTGGAGGCCATCTTGAGCGTCTTGGAGGCCTCTTCGGCCGTCTTGGGGGCCTCTTGGGGCCGTCTTGGGCCTCTTGGGCGATCTTTTGGGGCCGTCTCGGGCCGTCGGAAGGCTGAAACAACGCAAATGCCACAATTCTTCAAAAACTCATTGGAAATCAATGATTTGGGCCTTTTTGGGGCCTTCCTGGAGGCCCTCTTGGAGGCCTCTTGGGCCGTCTTGGGCCATCTTAGTGCCATCTTCGGCCGTCTTGGTGGACCCCTGGCCCGTCCGACGCCGTCGGAACCGTTTGAGAGGCCTCTCTGAGCCGACTTGGGGCCTTCTTGGAATGCTCCAGGGCCGTCTTGGAAGCCATCTTGGGCGTCTTCAAAGCCTCCTGGGCCGTCTTGGGGGCCTCTTGGGGCCGCCTTGGGGGCCTCTTGGGCCGTGCTGGGGCCATCTTGGAGGCCTCTTGGGCGATCCTTGGGCGATCTTTGGGGGCTCTTGGGCTGTATCGGGCCATCGGAAGGCCGAAACGAAGCAAATGTCAAAATCCTTGAAGCACGTGGGCTTCTTGAAGGTCATCTTGCCCGGCCTTCTTGGTGGACATCTTGGAGGGCTCTTGGGCCGTCTTGGAGGCCATCTTGAGCGTCTTGGAGGCCTCTTCGGCCGTCTTGGGGGCCTCTTGGGGTCGTCTTGGGCCTCTTGGGCGATCTTTGGGGGCCGTCTCGGGCCGTCGGAAGGCCGAAACACAGCAAATGCCACAATCCTTCAACAACTCGTGGGAAATCAATGAGTTGGGCCTTTTCGGGTCTTCCAGGAGGCAGGGCCTCTTGGGCCGTCGTGGGCCGTCGTGGGCCATCTTAGTGCTATCTTCGGCTGTCTTGGTGAGCCCCTGGCCCGTCCGACGCCGTCGGAAGCCGTTTGAGAGGCCTCTCTGAGCCGACTTGGGGCCTTCTTGGAATGCTCCAGGGCCGTCTTGGAGGCCATCGTGGGCGTCTTAAAAGCCTCCTGAGCCGTCTTGGGGGGCTCTTGGGGCCGCCTTGGGGGCCTCTTGGGCCGTTCTGGGGCCATCTTGGAGGCATCTTGGGCGATCCTTGGGCGATCGTTGGGGGCTCTTGGTCCGTATCTGGCCATCGGAAGGCCGAAAGACGCAAATGTCAAAATCCTTCGAACCCCTAGGGACAATCCATATGTTTCTACATTTTCTGGACTTCCTGGAGGCCCTCTTGGAGGCCTCTTGGGCCGTCTTGGGCCAGCTGCGAGCCATCGTCGGTCATCTTGGTGGGCTCTTGGCCTGTCTGACGCCGTCGGAACCCGTTTGGGTGGCCTTTCTGGGCCGATTTGGGGCCTTCTTGGGGTGCTCCAGGGCCGTCTTAGAGGCCATATTGGGCGTCTTGGAGGCCTCTTGGGTCGTCGTCGTGCCCCCTTGGGGCCGTCTTGGGGGCCTCTTGGGCAGTCTTGAGGCCACCTTGGAGGTCTCTGCGGCGCTGTGGGAGCGATCTTGGGGGCCTCATGGGCCGTCTTGGGTCGTTGGAAAGCCGAGAAGAAGCGAATGCGAAAATCCTTCAAACACCTAAGGAACATCACTTATGTTGGCCTCTTCGGGCTCTCTTGGAGGACCTCTTGGAGGCATCTTGGGCCGTCTTGGAGGCCTCTGGGGGGCCTCTTGGGCCGTCTTCGGCCGTCTTGGACCCTCTTGGGCCGTATGGGAGGCCGTTTTGGACCATCTTGGGCGGACTTGGAGTCCCTCTTGGACCATCTTGGAGGCCATCTTGGGCCAACGTGGCCATCTTGGAGACCATCTTGGGCCATCTTGAGCGAAAAACATTTGAAATTGGGGGCCTTCCTGGTGGCCAGCGGGACGGGCCGAAGCCCCAGGGGGAGTTCTTTTGGAAAAAGAACCTAAACCAAACCCGAAAGGATCCAGCACGCCAGGCACCCCTGCGATGAATCGACAGGGGGCGGCGGATCGAAGACGCCTACGGCGAATCACCGCCGCCCCCTGCCTTTTTGGAAGCGCCTATGTGGCCGAACGTTGAGGCCAGACCTGCCAAGCTATCGGACCACGTGTTCCCCGAATCGGTTTGGAAAGCCTTCGGGGAACACGTGGGCATCTTGAAGGTCATCTTGGCCGTCTTGGAGGCCTCTTGGGCAAGCTTTGGGCGATCTTTGGGGCTTTTTGGGCCGTCTCGGGCCAGCTTCGAGCCAACTTCGGCCATCTTGGTGGGTTCCTGGCACGTCTGAAGCCGTCGGAAGCCGTTTGGGGGGCCTCTATGGGCCGACTTGGGGCCCGCTTGGAATGCTCCAGGGCCGTCTTGGAGGCCATCTTGGGCGTCTGGGAGGCCATCTTGGGCGTGTTGGAGGCCTCTTGGGCCCTCTTGGGGCCCTCTAGGGGCCATCTTGGAGGCCACTTGGGCCATCATGGGGCTCTCTTGGGGGCCTCTTGGGCGATCTTGGGGGCTTCTTGGGCCGTCTTGAGCCGTCGGAGAGCCGAAAAGGCGCAAATGCCAAAATCCTTCAAAAACCAAGGGAAAATCAATGATTTTGGCCTCTTCGGACTCTCCTGGAGGACCTCTTGGAGGCCTCTTGGGCCGTCTGGGAGGCCTCTGGGGGGCCTCTTGGGCCGTCTTGGGCCGTCTTGGACTCTCTTGGGCCGTTTTGGAGGCCGTCTTGGACCATCTCGGGCGGACTTGGAGGCCATCTTGGGCCATCTTCGCGATTTTGTTGAGGATGTCCCGAGCGAAACGGCCGTTTTTGGGCATTGACAGACGCATTTTGGGAAATGCGCGGGTGGCCGGCGGCGGGACGGGCCAAAGCCCACTGGGGAGTTCTTTTAGAAAAAGAACCAAAACCAAAACCTGAATCATCCAGCACGCCGTGCACCCCTGTGGCAAGACCACAGGGGGCGGCGGATCCGAAAGGCTTTCGGCCCATCCCGCCACCGTGCCTGGGTTGTGGGTCTGAGGCCTCTGTTTATGTTGGGGTGTCGTGTGGAGCCTTTCGGGGGCTCCTTGGAGGCGGTTTGGGCGCCTCTTGGGGGCCTCTTGGGGCCTCGTGGGGTATCTTTTGGGCCTCTTGCAGGCCTCTTGGGCACGTCTTGGACGCCTCTTGGGGCCTCTTGGCGGCCTCTTGGGACCTCTTGGGCTTCTCGGGGCTTCTCGGAGCGCTTCTTGGGCCAGCATTGAGCCCTCTTGGGCCGTATTGGGGCCCTCTTGGAGGCGTCTTGGGGCGGTCTTGGGAGCTTCTTGAGCCGTCTTGGAGCGTCGGAAAGCCGACAACGCGAGAAGGCTAAAATCCTTCCAAAACCGTTCTGTGCTATCGACGATGTGGGCCTATTGGGGCTCTCTCGGGAGGCCTCTTGGAGCGCTCTTGGGGCCTCACGGGACCTCATGGGGCCCTCTTGGGCCGTCTTGGAACCATCTTCGGGCGCCTTGGAGCACTCTTGGCCTCGACAATGCGAGTGTAATTTGCAAGGTTATGTTGCCTCGGGGACGCAAGAATTGTACAATGTGCGAAGGTTTATGTCCTCGGATATGCGAATCTTTCGTACTTTTGAAGGAATTCTGGTTTCGGGGACGCGAATCTCATGTATTTCTGTGTCCCACGCCCCCCCGGGAATTCAGAGCACGAGATCCGAGGGTGGTAAATTGCTGGTTTGGGGCTCCTCTCCTCGCGCGGACTTCAACAATTTACAGTCGGAAGCAGAAAACAGGACTGTAACATGACTTGAGACTGCAACTGGCGCAGGGAGCAGCAGCCTCGTCATACAGCCTGGTGGCCCCACAAGGGGGCCGGCGGAATACCTAGCGGCCGTCCGTCCATCCCGCCACCGTGCTTTGGTTGTGGGTCAGAGTTCTCAGGGATGCTTCTTCGGGGCGCTCTCGGAGGCCTCTTGGGGGCCTCTTGGGGGCCTCTTGGGGGCCCCTTGGGGGAATCTTGGGGCCTCTTGGGAGCCTCTTGGGAGCCTCTTGGGGCCTCTTGGCGGCCTCTGGCGGCCTCTTGGGGCCTCCTGGGGGCCCTCGATCATTCTTCTCATTCTGCCAATCGTTACTCTCATTCGCCTGTGACCAGAGCTGTGCGACGAGCACGACAACGTCGACGACTACGCAAAGGCGGCGACACGGCGGCCCTCCGACCCGCCGAACAGGCGGGCTCCGCCAGCTCCGTCGTGCGCCTCTTCTGCCACCCCGGCGACCGGGCGCGCAGGGTGTCCTCCGCAGGACCGGGTCTTCCTTTTTGCTAATCGTTTCGCTCATTCCGCCGGCCCATGTTCTGCCATCCTTTGCGTTTGCGTGCGCGTTCGCGGGCCACGCGGCGCTGCTGGTCGGCGCTGCTGCGATTGTGGGCGAGAGTCCTCATTGATGCTTCTTGGTGTCTCTTCGGAGGGTTCTCGGGGGGCTCCTGTGTAGCATGTACACTCGGAACGAGGTATAAGATCGAGGCCGGCTAGGGGAGGGTAGCCTGATCAGAGGAGGAAAAGGTACCCATACCGTATACCGCTACCTTGGCCTCGTTTTCGCCGTCTTGGGCCTCCTGGGAGACCCTCGTCGCCACCGCTGGATTCGCCTCGGAATTCTGTCAGAAGTCAGAATGCACCCCAGGAGAGGTTCGGGGAGTAGCGGTATTGGTACCTCTTGGTTTCCCCAAGAAAATCGAGGTCGGTTCGGGGAGGGTACCCTAATATTCTTCTTCTTCTTCTTCTTCTTCGTCTTCTTCTTCTTGGTTGTTTGATATTTTTGTGCATCCTGGGGAGGGTGCCCTTGGGCGTTCTGTGTGTCTGCGGTTTTGCCGGCGCGGATGGTCTCATGTTCTTGGAGGTGTTCGTGTGTCATAGGTCCGATTGTGCTCTTTTGCGCAGCTATGTTCTAGAGCTCGGAGCCCTTTATTTTTGTCGTCTTTCGTTCGTTCGCTTGTCGCCCCCCCTCCCACCCTCACGCCGCCCCTGCCCCTGCCTCCTCACCCCGCCTCGCCTGCCTCGCCCTCCCTCGTCCAAGAGAGAGAGAGAGAGAGAGCGACGGAGCTATATAGAGAGATATGCTAGGACCGACTCGAGAGATGCCGAGGCCGACTCGATTTTAAGACCGACCGACCTTGTGCTGGGACCGACAAAATCATGTTCGTTCCGCACAGGGCTCGTTTCGATTCCTCCGATTCGATTTGATTCGGTTTCGATGGCTTCCGATTCCAATTCGGATTCGAATTCCGATTTGGATTCCGATTTTTCAATGGAGGCCGACTACCTTGCCGATTTCCGCCGATTCGAGTTCTCCCGACTTGGCCGCCGATCTCCGCCGATCCGATGCATGTCGATCGCCGATCCGACTTCTCGATCCGATTTCTGGGCTCTCCTGCCGCAGGCACCGCACCCGATGGCCCCAGAGAGAAGCACGCCGCGCTCCTCCCCAGTGGCCGCCGCCCGCGCCGAGGGCTGGCCCAGCGGGGCGCTGCTCGCTGTGGGGCCCGAGGACCGTGCTCTCCCGGGGTGGGCGGGGAGCCCCCGAGGGGGAGGAGGGGGAGGACCCTGACCTCCCAGGAGGGCTAAAAAAATAGCACCAGGACCTCGTTATCTTAATCCCTGTGGAGGTCTATAGGGCTGGAGGGCTAATTTCTAGCACTCTGGTAGGTCAGGGGAGGAGGCGGAGGTGGGGGGGGCGGATCTGGGAGTTTTCTGAGCCCTCCCGGAAGACGGGACAGACCTCTCATGAGGCGCGAGGGCCTGGGAGGAGTCCCGCCGCCTTCTGAGAAGGCCTCCTCGTCGGATGCATCTACTGGGAGGTCAAAGTCTGACTCTGCCCTGGTCCGAAATCCGGCTCAATTCCGCTGAATCCGGCTTGATCACGCTCAATCTGGCTTAATCCCGCTGCTTGTTCCGAGGCCCAATCCGGCGTAACAGCCCCCCAAGGGGGCTCAATCCTTCTTTTATCCTTCCGACGAAGACCTCCCAGCAGTTGCCTCCTAACTACTCCTTCTCTCACTCCCTCCCCTCGCTCGCCGCCGACATCGGAGCATCCCATGGGCGCCTCCCTCGGGGCTCCCCGGCGCGGCCCGGCCAGGAGGGCTGGCGCGCCTCGGAGGCGCCCCGCCACCCCCCCCAGGGGGGGGTGCGGTGGTCGCGGCCGCGCCGGCGGGAGGAGGGGCGGGCGGCTGGGCGAGCGGGAGGCGGTCGAGGAGGGGGGGGAGGGGACTCGATCGGAGTCCTAGAGAGAGAGACCAACACCAAGATCGGCGGTGTGCCTCCACCGAGGGAAGACGATCCCGATCTCGGTGATGGTGGTAATATTCTGGCTTCCAAGGTGACCGAAATATTACCACCAACACCGAAATCTAAGATCATCATCTCCCTGTGGAGGCAAACCCCTGTGCTGGTGTTGGTGCCAATTTCCAGGCCTCCAACTCTAGGCCTCCCAGTTTCGAGGACGAGGAATCGCCATAAACATTAGCTTTTGGCGCTCCGCGCGGACTTCTTGGATCCGCGCCTGGGCCCCCCCGGCGGCGCCTCCGGCACCGCGCTTGGCGTGCTCCGCTCCCCGGGGAGAGGGGTCTGGCGCAGATCCAAGAAATCCGCACGGAGCGCAACAATAAATATGTTTATGGCGTTTTTCTTCTTCTACATATGGTATCCGAGTACGGCAGGTTCGCGTCTTGTCGACTCGCCGCAATCCCCTCGCGAGCGTTCAAGGTTGAGCGCTGGCAGTGGCCCACAGTCGGCCAGTATGGAACGATTTGGCGATCGGAAAGCCGCCGATCCGCCGATCGTACGAGGTTGAACAATTGGGTGTCAGACATCAACGCGCAGGTCATCACAGCACGAACCCGCCGTAGATTGGGTCGGAGGATCGCGTCGCATCGCCGATGCATCGCCGATGCGGCTCGATGTGGAGCCCGATTTTCTCCGCGCCGATGATTCGGCGAAGCGGCGCGATGCTCCGACCCCATCTACTGCGACCCCAGGACTCTAGGGGAGGGGGAGCGGAGGGAGTAATTCGGAATCCGATTCTGCCGAAAGCGTCGTATCCTCCCCTGGGCGAGGTCGTGCACGATACAGATATCAATGTCGGGGAGCGCAGTGCCCGACTCTTTGCGGGAAGATCCTCGAGAGAGGCGCGACAGCACCTCCCTCCCCACACTGGTGGGAGGCCCAGCGCTCCTGCTTCAGAGTGCGCGGGGGGGGGGGGGCACTGTCACGAAACCTCCGCACCTCTCACGAAACAAAACGTCTCTCAACACCGCAACACCGTGACACATGCAGTTGCCTCGCCGTGCGAGTCCAGGATTTGTGTGTCGCGCCTGGCAGGCTGTGTGAGGCTGCGTGCGGTTGGCAGTCGGGCTGGTGTGATGCGGTGTTTGCGTGCCTGCGAGTTTCCTGACATTCCCTTTATCCCCTGTCCAACATCTTGCGCTGGAGATAAAAGCTGAGGAGGCGCATCGCACAGCTCTGCCATCGGATGGTCCAGGGCTCCACCGCACAACGTCGAAGGTCCGAGGTGATCTGGAGCAGGCCACTTCTCAAGCGGCCCTGGCTCGCCAGCTAGGAGAGCCTGAATTGCTGCTCAACCTGACACCGAGGCTTGCAAGGGTCGGGTCTGAAGTCGGCCAACTTGCCACGCAAAGTGAAACTCATGGCCCCAAGAGATCCTCAAGAGGCCCCCAGTAGGCCCCCAAGAGACCCGTGGAGAACAGCCGCCCATATGTTCCCAGAGACCTCTCTGGGAACCTCCGGGCGGAGGAGGAGGACGAGGAGGAGGGGGGGGAGGAGGAAGAGGAAGGAGGGATGAAGAGGAGTCGCGGCAAAAGAAAGAGGAGGATGAGGAGGAGCAGGACTTGGGACAGAAGGAGAAGGGGAGGAGGAGGAGGAAAAGCAGGAGGAAGAGGAGAAGGACGAGGAGGAGTGAAAATGGAGTAACCAGGAGGAGGGAATGAGGAGGAAGAGCAGGAGCAGGAGCAGGAGCGCGGGGAGGAGGAGCAGGAGAAGCAGAAGGAGAAGGAGGAGGACGAGGACGAAACGGACGATGACGAGGGAGGGGGAGGGGGAGGGGGCGGAGACGGATGGAAGCTCTGCAATGCCCACACGCAGCGGACGTTGCAGTGCCGCTTCCAGATGAGCGAGAGCGAGAGACCTGAAACGTGGCGCAGTTGCGACCAGAACCTGAGCGCGCGCGAAGCGCGCGCGTGGTTCTGCTACTCATTATCGGGTTAACTGCGGAGCGGTAGCCGAGGCAGGCGGCTGCAGCGCTCCCTACGGGCGGGAGCCCCGCCCGCGCGCCGCGTGCCCCGGCCAGGTGGAGCTGCTGCGGCGCCACCGCTTCGCGCAGGCCCGCCGTCCCGTGCAGCCCCCCTCGCCGCGCAGGGGGGGCGGGGAGGTCGTCCTCCTCCGCCTCCGCCGCCTCCTCCGCACGATTCTTTCAGCCTTCCTCTTCCGCCTCCTCCGAGGGGGGGAAGGTTCAGGTAGTTCTTCTCGTCGCCTCCTCCTCGCGCCTCCTCGTCCTCGTCGTCGTCTCGCCCTCGTCCTCGTCCTCGTTGTCTCTTCCTCCCTCCTGCCTGCTCCCCCATCCTGCGTCTCCTGGTCCCCCGGTGACCAGCGTCGACGCACCGTGCTTCCAACAGGTTGACAGACAATCCTCCATTTACCTCCTCCTCGTTGTCTTCCTCATCCTCCTCGTTCCCCCTATCGGATGATGGCTCACGATGCGTAATTGTGGGGGCCCCCTAAGGTTTTATCTAATGAGCCTCGCCCGTTGCCGCTGGCCTCACCCTCTAGGGTTGCCTGCGTGACTACATCGATTGGGTTTGGTTGTTGGAAGGATGTACACTTGGCTGGTGGCTTGCTGTTTGGATGGACGGTTGGGAGGGCAGCTAGCTGGTTGGTTGATGGGTTGGTTCGTCGTCTTCCTGGGTGGTTGGACGGCTGGCTGGATGGCTGGCGAATTCGGAAAAAAGGACCCATGCGTCTTGTCCATGGGATCGTAGACTAAGAAGTGCGGACCCATACATCTGTCAGAGAAATCTTGGCCTCGGGAGCGCGAAGCTATGGTTGTACGAGGGGTCGCTATCTTGGGAGCGAGGGATATGTTTATTGACTGGAGATCGTAGCCTCGGGAGCGCGGCTTTGCGAGCGCAGATCAAGCGTCTGTTGTGTATCCAGGTTATGTGTTTCGAGGGAAATATGGTTTTGTAAATGTATTCATCCCAGGGCACACAAAGTATTGGGACGTGGTTTGGGCTCTGCAGGGAAACGGGCGCAGACACTCCTACGCTATAGGCTTCACATAGGGGCCACTGTCGTGGGTTCACACGGGGCGCTATTGTCGGCCTCATCTGTTTATTTGGCATTCGGGTCTCGGCATACCTCCGCTTCTCTGTTACGAATCAAGCAGTTGCGGGGTTGTCGACGAACGATTAATTCGCGATGCAGTTACATTAGCAGCGTTGATTGCCACGTTCGCTCTGGACCCGACCGATTGTGCTGCCTGCGCATTCAGGCTAAACTAGATACCCACACCCAAAGGGAATCACATTCGGATACCGTTCTCGCTGTAGGCCCAAGAAAGTGACAACGTGTTATATGCCCAGCGTAAGTGAGTGTGTGTGTGTGTGCGTGTGTTTTGATGGATGCCCTACGCGTTGGGTCAGCTTGCCAGGTGAGCGAGTGATGTGAGCTGCGGTATTCATTGAATTCACAGATGAATCACTCACTTCCGTTTCGCGGATGGAGGTGGAGGAGGGAGACGAGGAAGTGGAGCACGAGTAGAGTAGAGGACGGGATAGAGGAGGTTGGAGGTTCAGGAGGTGTATGTGGATCTCCTACATGTGTGTGCTTCGTTGTGTGTGCGTGTGGGTGAGTGCTCTGTTTCGCCTTTAGCCTGCCAGCTGTGTTTTTGTTTCTGGATGTTCTAGAGGATAGGGGGAGCGGAAGGAGAGGAGGAGAAAGAGGAGAAAGAGGAGGAGGAGGAGGAGGAGGAGGAGGAGAAGGAGGAGGAGAAGGAGAGGGACAACGGAAATGGAGGAGAGTGTTTGAGGAGGAGGAGGGGCAGAAGAGTGGCAAAGAGGAGGAGGGGGGGGCAAGGAAGGGGTCGGGAGACTGTGAAAAGGGGGGGAGGAGGATGAGGACGAGGATGGCACCCTTGCGGTAGAAGACCCTAAACAGCTTTACATAATTAAGAGTTGGTCCACTATGTGGAGATCGGGATAGACACAGGGATAACGATAGGAATTGCAACGGGAGGCCACAGAAGGCAACGGGAGGCCACAGGAGGTCACGGAAGGCAACAGGAGGCAAAGAGAGTCCATGGGGGGCAACAGGAGGCCATGGGAGTCCACAGAAAGCAATGGAAGGCAATGTCGCCCGCCAGATTTCGGATTTGGCTGTCAACTCATTAGGCCCTGCACTTTCAGCCTGATGCAGAACCCTGACGGACAAGCTGCTGAGGGCATTGTGCAGCCGGCGAGGGTAAGACGAGAGAGGCGACCAAGAGGCGGGGGGGTGGACGGGGCGGAGGTAGACGAAAAAGGTCGAGGGCAAGGACAGAGGGGGAGGATGAGGAAACGGAGGAAGAGGAGGAGGAGGAGGAGGCGGAGGAGGAGGAGGAGGAGGAGAAGGAGGAGGTTGAGGAGGAGGAGGAAAGGAGGAGGAGAAGGAGGAGGAGGAGGAGAAGGAGGAGGATGAGGAGGAAGAGGAGGGTAAGGAGGACGAGGAGGAGGATGAAGAGGAGTTGAGGACGAGGAGGAGAGGAGGACAGTAAGGACGAGGAGATGGAGGAGGAGGAGCAGGAGGAGGAGGAGGAGGAGGAGGAGGGCGAGGACGAGGACCAGGAGGAGGAGGAGGAGGAGGAGGAGGAGGGCGAGGACGAGGACCAGAAGGAGGAGGAGGAGGAGGAGGAGGAGGAGGAGGATCAGGCGGAGGAGGCGGAGGGTCAGCAGGCGGACGAGGGGGGGCACGCCGGCGAGGAAGATGTGTTCCCGAGGGGGAGGCGGCGGCAGCTCTGGCGGCAGGTGTCCCCGGCGGTGGGCCTGTCCACGGACATGGCCGTCGTCGCCATGTGCGCCCTCGCGACGGACCGTGCGGGGGGCCGGCGAGGGGCCGCGCCGCGCCCCGCTGCCCCCTGCAGCCGGCGGCCCGTACCACGCGAGGTTGCCGCGGGGAGCGCGTCCCGTTCCTGCTCCTCCTTTTTTCCTCCTACTTGCTCAGTCCTTCTTCTTACTCCTTCCTCCCTCCTCCTCCTCCTCCTCCTCCTCCTCCTCCCTCCTCCCTCTTCCCTCCTCCTCCTCCCCCTCCTCTTCCGCTCCTCCTCCTCCTTCTCTTCCTCCTCCTCGTCCGACTCCTCCTCCTTCTCCATCCTCCTCCGCCGCCTCCCTCCTCCTCCTCCTCCTCCTCCTCATCATTTCCTCCTTTTCATCCTCATCCTCATCCTCATTCATCCTCCCTCCTCCCTGCTCCCTCGTTCTTGCTCCTTCTCATCTTCCTCTTCTTCTTCCTCGTCCTCCTCCCCCTCCTCTGTCGACTCGAACGGTAGGTCACTTCTTCTTTTTCAAGCATGTTTGGTGCGGGAGGGACTTTTTTGCCGCAGCGATGTAGCTTACAAGCATGCCCCCCGCACCCGCTTTTGCAGTCGCTTCACACCGTTGTACATCTTTCAGTTGAAGAACACTGCGCTCACCACTATACGTCTTAGTTGGTAGCGGAACACCTCGCTCCACCACCACACCCGCCGCCATGGGTTGCGTGGCATGATCGCGGGCTCCGGGCCCACGGGCCCCCCCCCTCCCCAGATGGGATGGGTCCCAGGGTCCTCGGGCCCCCCCCCCCGATGGGATGGGGGGAGGAGGAGGAGGAGGAGGAGGAGGGAGGAGGAGGAGGAGGAGGGAGGGGAGGAGGAGGAGGAAGGGAAAGAGGAAAGGGAGTAGGAAGGAGAGGTGAGGAGGAGGAGCGGAGGAGGAGGAGGAGAGGAGGGGAAAAGGAGGGGGAGGAGGAGGAGGAGATGAGGGGGAGGAGGAGGAGGAGAGTGAGGGAGGAGGAGAGGAGGAGGAGGAAGGAGGAGGAGGAGGAGGCGGAGGAGGAGGAGGAGGTGGAAGAGGAGGAAGAGGTGGAGGATGACGACAACGACGACGTCGATGGCACTGGCGGCGGCGGCGGCGCGACGTCGAGCACCAGAGCACGTCAACATGACGCCACAATCACAGCCGCACGCACACCCACACCACACCCACAGGGGGGGAAGGGGGGAGGACATTGGGTCACCCCACACACACCCACAGCAACACACCACACTCACACCGCATCCACAGGGGGAGGGGGAGGGGGACCATCGCGCGGGGGGCAGCCCGATGGCAGTAACATGTGGGAGGGGGGGCAAACCTTCGACCATATATCCCGCTCTACATCGTCATACTCTACATGGCGCCGCACGCTTTGCAGCGCGCTTGCCGCCGCGCGCCTCCACCATATCGACGAGGCCAGGGACAGCTCTCTCTCTCGGGATTGTCGGAGCACCAGCCGCCAACCCGCCATGAACCACGACGGTGGACGAGCACGGGTACTCTGTCAGGGACTACAACCTTAAGGGCGGCGCCCCCCGCGCCCCAGTCTTCCCCGTCGGGCACTTTCGAACTGCGTGCGAGACGCTCGGGGGCCCTTCGTCGTCACACCGCTCGCCTGTGAGCGCCGCCGTCAGCGTCAGTTCGTCGAGTGATCCGGCTTCCACACCCACGGTGTCGGCACAGGGCCCCGAACTATTCGCAATTGCGTTGCTGAAGCCCGAGGGGGAAAAAGGAAAAGGGCGCACCGCCCTCCTTGCATCCGCATGTGGGCGTGGCCGGCTATGTCAGTCAGTCGTTGAATCCGAAGCTCGCATCGTCGGCGTCGGCAAGGCGCCCCGAGTTCCCTGCAACTATTATTTGTAAACCAGGGGAAGGCGCGTGAAGGTAGGAACGGGAAGTCGAACGAGGCCGGGAAGCTTTTTCGCTGCCGTCCTTCGGAGGATCGCTTCACGAAGTTGGGACTATTCATTATCGATTCTCCGGGGCAACACTTTCAATATTGCCTCCGCACCCCCTGCCTCCCTGCAGACCAGCATTCATTTTCGCTTTGACGATCGCGCAGTTGGGAGCGCTCAGCACAGCGGCAATGCTACGCACGACGAGATCTCTTGCCACTATGCGGCGGGGCGCTCCGAGCGCAGGCCGCGCGCCTTTCGCGCGAGAGAAGAAAAGACCCAGTGCACCGATGAGGGGGGGGGGCGCAGACGCCCACGACGGCTTCGAGGATCACATTCAGATCACCTCCGTTGGTGGGCGCCAGGACTGCCGCCCCCCATCGACGCCGAGAGGGGGCTCCACTCTGGAAGTAGGGCCATTGGAGTTGGCGTGGTCGCCACCATCAGCCTCGTCGCCCGCATGGGCGCGGGCGGCGGCGGCGGGAACTTGCGACGCCTCCGCGCCTCGGAGCCCGAGCAGCCAGCCCGCGCGCCCTTCCAGCGCTGGGCGCGGGGGGCGATGGCCTGGTCAGTGGCGACTTCAGACTTCGACGAGTTTCGCCAAGCGGCCTACGTCTCGTCTCGCTAGGCCAGCATGGCTCGCGAGCGCGCGGGCGAGCGGCCGCCGGCTGTCTTCATCACCCAGGTTTATATTCAACGGCAACCCAGTGCCGCCCATGACGGCCCTCAACGGCAACCCAGTTCCGCCCGCGACCCAGCTTGGCCGAACAGCGAGGCCAGCTTGGAGGAGCAGCGCGCGCAGGCGGTCTCGGCTCTGATGAACTTCAACCAGCCGCAGCGGGGGCGCGTCGACCGCCTCCCCGCCAGACTCGACATCCTCCGCGACAAGGCGCAGCAGGCCAGTCGACTCATGATCGGCGCTCAGGGCCTCAGCTATCTCGCGCTGCGCGCGGCAGGCGCGTCGAACATCCAGCTCGCCGCGATTCTGCATCGCGGCGACATGGCCTTCCCGAAGGGCGCGCCGCAGCCGGCGCGCATGATGGGCCAGCAACGCAGAGTTGCAGCGGTGATCCAAGACTTGCCGGGCAATCTCGCGTCGGCCGCGCATTCGCCCTTGCGCAAAGCGTTCCCCACGGGTGCGCCCGCGCGAGATCGGGGTCACATCCCCTATGGCACTGGAGACGGATCGAACTGAGATGGCACGGGCTCTCTGGCCCTGGGAGCGGCGCCGCGCCCGCCTGCCGCGCCAGCGGCCGCGAACGCCGACATCAGTAGCGCCGCGGGCGGCGCGTCCATCAGCAGCTTCCAATTTGGACACCGACACCGCCATCTTACGCGTCGAACGAGTTGTCGCCGACGACCCCGAATTGCGCAAAGTCCACTTGGGACAGCGCGGTGCACGTATAGGCCTACGAGCGCGCCAAGTCCTGATGGCGCCGCTCCAGCAAAAGCAGCAACAACGCGCTCGCCCGCCGCGCGCGAAGGGTCACCGAAAGCAAGGGCAAGGGCCACTGAGAAGAAGGCTACCGCGCCATCCCGGTCGACCTGTCCGACAGCGACCCCCGCGAATCGTTCGCTGGTTTCGGGCAGGGCGGGAATAAGGGACTGGGCGAGCACCGGGCAAGTGGGCTGGGATGTAGCCGACAAGGAAATCCACTGGGCCCAGACGAGACACTTCTCAAGCGCCACGAGTGCGACTCGGAGGAGCACGCCGTGCGCGACTGCCCCCGACGGCACTGGCAGGGGCGCGCCTCTTCCTCGGCGCCCCGGCCTCAGCGGCGCCGCCGCCGCCGACGCCGGCACCCTCGCGACTGACGCGCCTTGGGCTCAACGACCAACGCCCCCGCGGGGCGCTCGTGGGGAGTCGGGCCCTTCGCCCCGCCATTTTTCGGTGGGCAGAAGTTCCCGACTGCGAAGCCAGGATCATGTCGGGCGTCGGCCCGCGCTGCTGGAGCGCGCGCGGTTCGCGCGGGGCGACTGAGTGGAATGACGTTCTCGCCGAGCGCGACAATCAGCGCGCCAAGTGTCGGAGTCCAGTCGAAACCTCCTCATCCTTTTCCTCCTCCTCCTCTTCCTCCTCCTCCTCCTCGTCCTCCTCCGCCTCCTCGTCCACGCGGCGGAGAGAGGCGGAGGGGAGGACGAGGGACAGGAGGAGGAGGAGGAAGAGGAGGAGGAGGAGGAGGAGGAGGAGGAGGAGGAGGAGGAGGAGGAGAGAGGAGGAGGAAGGCGACCAGGATGAGAAGGGAAGAGGAGGGTACGAGGATGGAGAAGAGGAGAAGAGCAGAAGAGGAAGAGGAGGAGGAGGAGGAGGAGAAAAGGAAGAGGAGGAGGAGGAGGAGGAGGAGGAGGAGGAGGAGGACGGGAATGGACGGTGGAGGAGCAGCCTCCCCAGGACGCCCTGGGCCACGAGGGCCACAGCTGGGACGGCAAGAGCTGCAGCAGCACCTGCGACACCGCGGACGCGGCGGCACGGCACAGGCGAGCGCGTTCGTCGTGCGTTGTGGACCTCCGACTCTCTCGGGTTTGCCTGCGCTCTCTTTGACGAGCGCGCCCTGGATTTTTGACGGTCCCGTTTTCGCAGAATGTTGCAGCGGGAGCTCGCGCCTAACTTCAGATTGGGTCTGGTCATTTTCATGATGGCCCCATGAGGCCAACCCGAGACCCCCGAAGCCGAGTGTTGCGTCAACCCGATTTGCCTTTGCTGGTGCACAGCGCCTGCGGCCCTGGTCGTGCCGTGAGATCCCCCTCCGCCCTCCTGCTCCCTTCTCCTCCTCCCCCCTCCTCCTTCTCCTCATCCTCCTCCTGCATCCTCCGTCCTCGAAGTGGGAAGGGGTACCGATGCCGCCACCCGCTACCCTTCCATCGTGCTGTCCTCTCTGGGCCTCCTGGGAGGCCTTCGTCACCACGGCTGGATTCTCCTCGAAAGTGCCTTTACACAGAAAGCACCCTGGGAGAGATCCTGAGAGTCACGTTCACCCTCCTTCCCAGACCGTCAGCATGTTGCAGATGTCTGCACGGGCGTGGTTCTCAGCTCTCAGGCTCTTTGGGCCCTTGCTGGGCCCCAGGAGCCCGTCAGACAACGATCCAGGATGAAACACCGAGTCCCAGCCCGAGCCCGAGCCCAAGCCCGAGTAAAAGTTCGAGAGCGACCACGAGCCAGAGTGAGAATCTGGCGCGGGAGCTTTCTCTTCGCTAGGCCCAGACTTGAGCCCGAGCCCGAGCCCGAGGCCAGGGAAAGGGCCGGGACTTCGGGGGCCGCGTGTTGATCGATCCGATCGAGATGGGCAGGGAACTAATGGGTACGAAGACCAGCAGCAGTTCCCGTTTATTTAATCGCTTCGCTCATTCCGCCGGCCCATAATGTCGCACCGTGGTCGCCTGTCCGAGTGGTCGTTTGCAGTGTGGAGCTGCGGCGTCGGGAGCTGTGTAGTGTTGGGGGCGTTATTGGGGCCCTCTTGGGCCGTCCTGGAGGCCTCTGGGGCCGTCTTGGAGCCGTCTTGGGCCGTCTTGGGGCCCTCTTGGGGGCCTCTTGGGCCCTCTTGGGGCGATCTTGGAGGCCTCTTGACCGTTTAGGGGCGTCGGGGAACCGAAAAGGTTAAAACGCCCAAATCTGTCCAACACCAAAGGAAAAGCACAGGTTTTTGCCTCTTGGGGCCCTCTTGGGAGTTCTCTTGGAGGCCTCTTGGGGCATCTTGGAGGCTTCTTGGGCCATCTTGGAGACGTCTTGGGCCGTCTGGAGGCCATCTTGGGCGTCGTGGAGCGATATTCGGGCGTCTCGGACCTCTCTTGGACCGTGTTGGGGGCGTTCTTGGGGCCCTCTTGGGCCGTCTTGGAGGCCTCTGGGGCCGTCTTGGAGCCGTCTTGGGCCGTCTTGGGGCCCTTTTGAGGGCCTCTTAGGCCC